TCTTCTTCTTCTTCTTCTTCTTCTTCTTCTTCTTCTTCTTCTTCTTCCTCCTCCTCCTCTTCTTCTTTTCTCTTTCCCCCTTCGCCTTCTGGTGCTTCGCCTGCTTTGCTTCCCCCCTCTCTCCCGGCTTTCTTGCTTTCTCTTTCTCGCAGCTTAGGCCTCAGCGGTTTGTGCTCAGTGAGGCCACTGGCTTCCCATTGCTAACCAGCTCAGTTGCCTTCGTTGCAATCGGCGCCGTGCACTGTGTGCAGAACAAGCAGAGGACGGGAGGGGAGGGGAAGACACGAAGCACCTCCATCTCCATTCTTCTCGACGCTTTCGGGAGCATAGTTTCTCCCTTACCTAGTCGGTGTTTAAAGCCACTTTGCTGCTCGCTATGCTGGGAAAGCGGCGTCCTGCCAAAGAAAACCCCCGAGTGTCTTCGCCATGGAATCGGGGAGCGGGCCTAGTTTTCCAAAGATTTCCCCGATAAAAGCTGGACTTGTCTGGAAAGCTTGAAGTAGCGTCGGACCCCTCAGATACAACCAGCAGTGGGAGTTGTTGTAGCTGATCGTTTTTGTTGTTGCTGCAGGAGGCCACTCCACTATGGGTGATAGTTACTTTGCCTGGGATGAATCCGCGTATTTAGATGTGATTTATTTTTTATTTTGTAGCACCAAGAGAAATCCATAAACTGTCGGTTCAGCGCCATTGACTCTTTGATCAGTTACTGGGCTATTTCCCCTCCCTCTCTCCTCCGTCAGCGAAGAGAGATTAAAAGCTTGTATTTTCAGCAGTGGAACTCCTGAAAAAGTCCGCAACTTCCATTGCTAATAAAAACGTGCTTTAAAATGGTCTTTTCTCTCTCATTCTCTCACTCACTCTCACTCACTCTCTCTCCTTCATTCCAGAGCAGTGAAACCTACAGAGCTGCCCATAGTATCCTCTTAATTAGCCTACAGCGATTTCCGAAAACATTTAGCTGGTATTTACAAAGGAAATAAGAAGACATTGTCAACTCTGGAGAGAGCTCCAGAGTTTAAAAGGGTGCTTCTTTGTAACCTATTGAAAAAATTATTGGAGGGCACAATGCTTCTGCCTTTGTCAAGGGACTGGCGTTTGCCTGTCAGGTCGGGTTTTCTCCAAAAGAATACCACTCATTTACTGCTGGGGGCATTTAAATCTAACCCTATTTTTGTCAAGAACACTGAAAACTTTCTGCTTTCAAAATCAGAGTGGAGGGGAGGGCGCTTCAAAGCTTTAACTAGCTGAAATGGGGTCTTAAATGTGTCATTAAGGAAAACAGTCTTTTGTCCTTAACGTTTCAATTTTTATTTTTCCAAGTGATGGCAGAGAAAATACACTCCTCTTTCTGTTCTTTCATAAAGAAAGGCTAATAATAATAATCATAATCATAATAACAACGCATGGGGCATTTTATAAGGGATTACCATTGAGACTGTATTATTTGCGAAGGGTACAGTTCCCTTAATTTGCTTGTTCATCCAAAACAGAGGAAGCACACCGAAAGGCCAGTGAATGCATGTCTTAGAAAAACAAAATAAAGCCAAGAGACTGAACCCTTCGTTCAACAGCTAACAGGCAGCTTTAAAAAAAAATAATAGTTGTTTTGAAGGGAGTTTGGATAACATTTGTAGTTCAGAAAGTTGTCCAAAACATGTTAAACAATTTAACAAGGATCAGCTTGTAATTATGTTATTTACACGGGGATGACAGAGATTTGAGGAAGAAACAGGAGCTGATTTCAGAGAAAAAGGACGGGTGTGGGTGACCTCTGGAGCATGGAGCTTGAATTATGGAGATGGGGGACTGTGAGGTGAATCCGGGCTAGTGGAGAACAAGATGACTTTTCACCCCTGCACATTTAACTTTTACATCCCAAATAAATGTCTGATGATTCTAAATCATCTCTTTTAAAAGGAAGTGGGGGGGAGAGAAAGAAAGGGAAAAAGAATGGGGGGGGGGGGGGGGGCAGGGAAGCAAGTCACCTTTGATTTTTAGTGCCACAAGATTAAAACCTGATTTCCTCTTATTGCCCTTGTTACAAAATTAATCCTCCGAATTGTTCTAAAGTAACATTGGAGTGCTTTTTCTCCAGGGTTTAAAAATAAACTCCATATCATTCTCTAACATTTTCTTTTCTGGTCATTTCTTCTTTTCCTAACACCAGCACATAAGTCCAGAGGGCAAGTTTAAGATAGTAACCACAAAATGTTTTCAGGTTCTAAATATTTATCCTCAGCATAGAATTTTTTAAGTAACACATCTGAGAGGCTCATAGAAAAAGAGTGACAAAAACCTACCTAGAAAGCCCCGTAGAAACAAGCCCCAACTCAACAACTCATCAACTCTTAGAAAGCTTAAACTTCTCTCACCTGTTTTGTCATAGAATCTATGAGCCGAACGTACAAATCCTGTTCCGTTCTAACCCCTGCAAAAAATGGAAGAAAAACCAGTCAGAGGGCATCTGGCATGAAAAGGACCATGGGTTGAGCAAGATAAGTTACGCAGATATGGCATGTATTCAAGCATACTTAAGAAGTTAGGTGGGGGAGGAGAGAGAGAAAGAGAACGTATTTAAATAAAAAGAATTAAAGAACTCAAAATTGTGGATGGCCTGAGGCACATAACCCAAAGAAATAGGAGATTGGAAACGGCTTGTTTCATTACACTCGCCTGGGTTACTGTAAAGTCAAAAGGAAAAGAAGATCAACATTGATGGCTTGGATTTCCGAATGCCATTTCCCTTATCTATTTTGTTACCAAGCTTCCAGGCTCATCCAACCTGGGTGTGTAACATCTGGCATGTTAAGAGGTAGAAGCCACAATAATTAACATTCATTTGCCAAAGCAAGGCAGGGAATCTCTTAAAGGTGATGTTGTACTGGAGTCAATATTGATTCCGGATGGGTTTTTATTTATTTATTTATGTTTGGCTTTGCTTTGTTTTTGTGCATGGTGTTTTGTTGTTGTTACTTTCTACTTCGAGACAGCCGGTTAAATCATGTAAAGTACCATTGACTTATTGATCTTTTTATGTTTTGTTTCCATTCTATGCCATGAGAAGAGTCATGTTCATAGTCGGGTAAGTTTAACCTCAGAAATCTTTATAATCTTTATTTGTTTTTGTTTTTGTTTTGCTGAAAGAGCCCCCAGAAAGAAGGTAGCAGGTTTCCAGGCATATATAAAGATATGCACAAAAACAACAACAACAGTAACAACAAAGAAGCATGGTTGAATGAAACTTACCATTACTATACAATAACTGGAGTTTATAGTGAATCCCATTGTTAGTTTTTTCATTGTTTGGCTCCTGTAGGTAATGACAAATAATTGCATTTTAATTTTTTTATTTTTTGCAAAATGCCGTGCATGGCCTGTAATTGCTGATACCATCATACATCTACTGCATTTCCATTAATGAGAGATTTATTTGGTTTGCTCACTGTTGCAGCAGACAAGATTTGTCTGCTACCGAAAATATGACTTTTCCCTGTTCAAAGCAGCCCATTGGGCTGAGGCAACTTTGCAAGCAAGTCTTAAAGAGGCCAATCCTGGCATCAGAACTTAGGGAAACTACACGTGGTTTGGACGCCTCTGGAGTCCCGTTATAACTGGCAGTATCTAAGTCAAGGTAAAAATTATCTCTAGCTCTTGGAATCAGGCTCAAATAACATCAATTCTGGTACAACAGTTTTGGGAAACGGAGATTACAATTTTTTTAAAAACAAAACAAAACTTACTTTCTCTTTTTCCACAAAGTCCACAAAAGCTGTCCTTTCAATCTCCACTGGCTGTCCCTGCCTGTCGTACAGAGCTAAGACGAAGTGGAAAAAATTGGATTTTCTGAGATTGGAAGGCGGCTGTTTCTCGAAATGTGCCCGAGCCAACCCAACACCGCTGCGGGGAGAAAAACAAGACAATGTTTCGGTGAGAATTAGAGACCCCCCTCCCCCGAGAAAGAGAGGGAGTAAGGACTTGCGGGGGGTGGGATGGCGACGGGTAGAATGGGGAGGAGGGCGGCTTCTGATTAAAAGAAGAGGGGGGAAAAACCATTGGGGAGATGCTGGGAATTACATTTGGGAAAAAACCCCGAGACTTCCTTGATTTGTCGCTAGAGCCGTAATGTGATGTAATGGAAGGCGAGAAAGAGGGGAAAGCGCCTTGTGCGCACGGGGTTTGGGGTGGGGGGGGGCGGGAGGTGGCATTGAAGCGGAGTTCAGAGAGATTGCGATTGATGCAAAGCGCGGGGGGCGATTTACGGCCGGTGTGCGAAAAACACACAAGAGGAAAGAGAGAGAAAGGACCTTTTGGCACACGTACCTTTGCGCGGCTGTGTTAGCATCCACTACCCCAGCAGTATGCATCCATGATCGGACTGGGTTCATTCCACTGCCCAGCGGTTCTTCTTTCATGGTCGTCCCACCTCGTGGTATATTTTCCTGAATCCCAAACATTAAAACAATTTGGGGTACAAAACCAGCTTCTAACCAAACGGGGCTAAAAATAAACGACGGGAAATGTCAGAGAAAAGGGGGGGGAAAGGGGGAGATAAGTTGGTGGCTGGCGTTTCTTTCTCTGTGGTCCCCCCTCCCCGCGCTCTTTCCTTTTTCTTTCTCTTTCTCTCTCTCTCTCTCTCCTTGGCGACCGGAATGGAAGCGGCGACTTTTACTCCCCGCGAACCGAAGCGCCGTTTCAGGTCGTTCTTGCCGTCTTCAATCTGTCCCGGCTTGGCACGACATAAACAATATACTGAGCAGAGTTCTATTTGGATGGCGTTCCAGTTTGGAGATTTTTTTAAAAAAAGTAAAAAAAAAAAATTAAAAAAAAAACAACCCGGAGGGTTGAAAGGGGGGGAGGGGAAGGGGAAAAAAATAAGTTTTTGTTGTTGTCAGGTTTTTTTTTTTTCAAAAACAAAAGTAGAAATTACAGCCGTCCGTATTCAAAGGTTGCCTTTTCTGTCTTTCCTTCCGTTCTTGAACAAATAAATATATATATATATATATATATGGTTTGTTTGCAGAGGCTTCTCAATGTGGTGTCATCCTAGTAAAACAGCATCAAAAAACCTTCAGGACACTGCTGAATCGACCACTTCTGGCAAGGCTCTCCTGCTCCAAAAGACAAATAAACGAAAAAATGATTACTATGGAGGTGTTCCTGGACACAGGAGAGCGCGAAGAGGGGCCTTTAGCGTCTTGCAGAATGGATGGGAAGCGTACAAAACTCAGCCTTCTATCCCCTAGGAATGGAACCTTTCCCGGGAGCCAAAACTCTAAACCCCCGGGAACTGCGCTGTCAGATTCTGACGCTCGGGAGGCGGGGCCATCGCCATATATGGGGGGCCGAGCAAATCCTCCGGTTAGCCGAGAGCTCCACAGCTTGTTTAGTCCTGACTGACTGCTGCAGCCGCCGCCGCCGCCGCCGCCGCCGCCGAGTGCAGCGCCGCGCCTCCCCCTCCCTTATAACTCAAGCGCCCCCCTTTTTTACGAGATATTGTGTGTATGTGTGTGTGTGTACGTACACGAATATGAATATATATGCATGCAACACACACGCGCGCCGGCAGCCAATGAAGTTACAATATTAAAAAAAAAAAAAAAAGTCACAGCCCAAGGACAGCTGGAGCGTCTCTCAATTTGCAAAGAATCGCGATCGTTAAAAAGACCAGTAAGCCTAAATATCAACAACAGAGACCGAGGCTCTGTGTGTGTGCGCGCGGGTGGGTGTTAAGCACGAAGCATTACAAAAGCGATGGGCTACTCCCGACACCTTCCTTCCCGGGCCCGGTAAAGGACCGGGAAGTCTGTGCGCGTGTGCCCGAAGGAAAGGGGGGGGGGAAGAGCCCGCTGCGCGGCAGATACAAATATTTCGGTGACCGGGATCCTTCCCCCCAGGCACGCACATGTTGCCCCCCCCCCCCCATCTGCCCCCTCCCTCTTTACAGCTGGATTCGGGTTGCGTTAGGAAAGGAAAGGCAATTTCGGCAAGGTTTCCTGCCTACGGAAAAGTGAATTGGCCAAGCTGGCGGGGCTTGGCTTGCATTATACACACACACGCACGCACACACGCACCGCACAAACAGGCATAAAAATGAAAGGAGGCGCCCGCTTTGGAGAGTCCCGAGTCCAACCTTGCAAATATTACACAGGTGGTTCGCAAAGCGCGAAGGCGGCGATCGGTGCGCAGCGCTTTGCCGAAAGCCCCCTTTATCTTCCGGTTAAAGAGAGCGAGCCCCTCTTAGGGTCAGCGGTAGAGGCGCAGCCATGGAAATGCAAACTTTCTCGTAGCGTCCGCGTGTGTGGAAGGTTCGGGCTAGCGGGAACAATAGCCGGCCGGCCCCTTTTGCGCTCCAACATCCGTTTCCAAAGAACGGCTTCCAGTGGAGGTTTTTTTTTTTTCCCTTTGTGAATTGCTGTGATTATGCTTTGGTTTTATTTTAATTCTCCCGCCCCCCTAAATCAGGCTTTACAGCTACGCGCCTCTATTGATGTGCGGGAGTGGGGGGGGGGGGGAGACCCAACCAACCCGGGAAAAGAAATCTTTAAACTTCAAATCGATGCCTTTTGCCTTTGGGTGATTTTCCAAAGGATGGGATTTTTCTGCTTTCCTTTTTAACGCTTTTCCGGCACGGGTCAGAGCCCCATCTTTGAAACTCTGGTTTCGAGGAATCCTTAGAAGCATGTGTGCGGGTGTTGTGGAGGGCGAGGGCGGCTGGGAGGGGAGTGCGGAAGAGATGCATATCCAAACCTACTAGTGCGTAAGATTGGGGTCCTGTTCGACTACTTACCTGAGAGTTTAAGTCCCATTAAACTCAATAGAACTTACACCTGAGAAGAAGACTGAGCTGAGCAATTGAAACATCCCCCTCCACCAACACCAAGTAAGAACGAAACTGCTAATTACTTGTAGAGGATTAGTCGCTGGCGGCACGAGGTGAATTTTTCTCAGATTGATGGATGAACGGATGGATAGGTATGGATGGATGTGTAGATAGAAGTTATTTTAAAGGCGTTTGCCTGTACAGGAAAGCCTTAGATAGACAAAGGGGTTTCTGGACCCTTCTTCACACACACAAACCTCAGCCATCTACTTTGGTTCATTATGTGAACGTATTTTAAAAAGTCAAGACGAAGAGTGAGCCCAACTAGGTATTGGAAAAAAGCATTCCCCTCTCGGATGGGTTAGGAACTGGTTTTATATGAATTGGCAGGATATGTACGTTAATATTTTAATTAATCAGTGAAAATCGAAGTCCGATTTGTGTTACCAGGGGACCCCCCTCCCAATCATCCTCAAGGGTGGGGGTGGGGGTAAAAAGATGTGTTAGAAAGCAATCTATTTTGCTGGTGTTGAGGGTTAATGACTATTGCTAAAGATAAGTGAATTATCAAAGCTGTTGCTCTACCCGATCTCAAAATCCATTACATTGTTGGCCGTCTAATTAAATACGTAAGTATAATAAAATCATATTTTATGACTATTTGAGGGTAATGAGATTAGGCTTTAGCAGCGATCGCCACATATTAAAGATGCCACTGTCTATAGAATGCTAATAATGTTAAATCAAAGTGTATAGAAACTATTCATGGAAAATTGGGAGGGGAAAATACTGTCTTCAGAAATAATATTCAAGTATTATTACTGGGGTATGTTGGCAGATGTCACGGTTCTGCTGGACTGCAATTGCAGGCAAAACTAAAGTTACAAAATAGGTCGGTGCAGGCAAAATAGGACCGCTTTCTTTCTCATTCTGTGGTGTGGATTCTACACAGCAGTTTGACCCGGTAAAGTTTGCTGCAGTCATTATTCACAAATAGCGGCTGTCTGGTTTCTCTCCTCTTCTCCCTCCCGCTCTTCTTTTAAAATACTTTTTCTAGCCTGGAGCAAAGATTGCATGGTTTTACCCCCTTTGGGGAAGTGAAGACCGCTGCTGAAGTTACTTCTAGCCCAGGTCCACAATGTCACCACGCTTCAGCCCATTTACTGTACAGTATCTTTAATTCAGATTATACATGCCAAGGCGATTTAAATCTGATTACCAAATTAGAAGGTTTTTAAAACAAATCCTTTTAAATCTGATACTGTTGACTAAAAAGGGGAGAGGGAGGCTGGGGGAAGGAGTGAAAGTTGCATAAGCCCCCCATCACATAAGGTAACGATGCTGCCCGAGAAAAAAAAAAGGAGACTTTTAAACCTTTTTGACAACAAATGCAGCTGCCCCGCTATTTTGGACGATATTAAGCGAAAATGAATGCAAATCTGTGTTCAGAAGCCATCTGGCCAGAAATAGGGAGTCAGCTGCTCTTCACATTAGACTCTGAGGCTGAATCTATTTCAGCTCATTTTCTAGATCATCTGGTCCTGAACCTAAAGCGTGGAAAATACAGTCTTTATCGTTCACCAACTTTGCTTTTCTTTGCTCGTTTCTTTTTTCTTCTCTCTCTCTCTCTTTACTAGAAGCCATATGTATACAGAAAAACTACTCCCCGGGAAGTGTGTGAATTCAACTCCAAGGACTGGTTTGTTTTAAGGATCTTCTTTACTAAAACCTTAGGTTTTCTATCCCAGCAAAGGGTTAGGGCGCAAACGCCTCGCCTCTGCCCCGGGCATAGGGAGAAAGAGGGGGGCGGGGGCGGGGGATTTTCTGCCTCCTGTTGAAAGGGCTACTTAGTATGAGAGGAAGATTGTTTTTAATAATCCTTCTGGGAAATCAACGTGTTCCGAGAAAAACGCGGTCTTTCTTCTCCTGAAGTGGGAAGGAGAGGAGGAAGAAGAGAAAGACGGAACCACAAAAATCTTCTCTAACAGAGCCAAGCTGTTAGTTAAGGTGAAGTTCACGCCGGTCAGGACGAGTCCGGGAAAAGGCTAGCACTGTGTTTTCTCCCGGAAGGGGGAAGGGAAGGCGTGGGGACAAAATTTGTTGAGGTTTGAAAAACTTTTGCGACCCGCAGTGGACCAGCCAGGCCTAGTTCAACACTGGAGCGGATTCGCCCTCCGCCCTTTCCCTATTAGAAGCGCCTCTCACCAGTTCAAAGGTGGAAGCCAAGAGCTGGAAGCTTCAGCTGAGCTGTTGCAAACCCGGCTGGGGTAAGAGAGCCCGACTACCGCCAATCAGTCCTTTTTCCCCGCACATTCCCCCTCTTCCCCAAGGACTTGACCTTAGCAAACTTGGTCAGGCAGAAGGTGAGGTGGATTTGAATGAGATTTGCATACTGCAACTAAGACCTCCCGAAGTCGCAGCCCTCCTCCTTTCTTGGAGTGTGTGAAGTGTTCCTTTTGTGTGAATTTACGGGGTGAGGCTTCAATGATCCCCCCCCCACAAATTTGCATTTAAATAGCGACATCAAGCGATTCGCGTGCCACACACCAGTGGGCTCCCAGATGTCAAGCCGAAGTCAGTCAGATGGCCATTGCCCAGCTGTCCTTCTAAACATCATACCAGAGCATGCCGTGA